AACTTTTCTTATGCTGAGCAAAGAACACGTGTGCACACATACACATAGATGCAGATATACACAGATGCAGATATACACACATGCAGATATACACACATGCAGGTATACACACACATAGAAATCTGTTTAACTTTGTGTAACCTGCATTTCCCACATCTAATTGACCAAAGGGCCCATTTTTCTGTGGCATCTATCAGTGTCCTGTGGACCCGGCATTCTCTAGGACACATGCTGGAACGCACTGCCCTACTCACTGCCCTAATCGGGAGCTGACCTAAGTAATGATCTCTGCCTCCCTCTAGAAATCCACAGAAGCAGCATCTCTAACAAATCTCCCACCTTCTAATGACCTTAAGCCACTAATCCACTCTACATGTAGCCAGAGGCTATAGCTCAACTCTGCCAAAACACAGGCCTGCTATGAGTGGGAGGGCCACTGCATCTTTGGCCTGAGGCTGTCCTCAAAAAACTGAACTCACGGCTACCCCACAATTCAGCCATGGAGGACAGAAGTTTTCCTGCCCTGAGAACCCAGCTCAGGGTCATTGCTAGATGGGTCACTCACGTATGCATGCAGATAATCAGCCTGACGGGAGACATGTGGGGCACTCACCTGTCCATTCTTCAGCCCCACTAACAGGCCTTCCCTTCCAGGAGGGCCACCGATAACCTTGATGTAACGAATTAGAGACTCCATCTGCCACTCCCGCTCCTTCACTCCGCTGAAGGACAGACACTGCAGCCGTTTCTCCTAGGAAGCAAACCCAGCTCTGCATGGAAATTCAACAGAATAAACGCTCCTAGCCCTCCCCAAGGAGGTCTTCCTGCCCCTAAGGGGTGAAAATGCCTACACATTCAGTATCTATCTATCTATCTAACCCCATGTAGACCCCATGATTGGCATCGTTAATCCAAGAATCCGTGCAAGGCTTCCCCACGGAGCCCACTTCAGCCTCAGATCTTCAACGCAGACCTTCATCCAGGTAGCCTAGGCCAGAGGTAGCACTTGAAAGTACACATGCGTGGGCCAGGCGCGGTGGCTCACGCCTGTAATCCCAGCACTTTGGGAGGCCGAGGCAGGTGGATCATAAGGTCAAGAGATCGAGACCATCCTGGTCAACATGGTGAAACCCCGTCTCTACTA